AAGCCCTAAAAATACGGTTTTACGTTGACGTATGACATTTCTCTTGATGGAAATGAATTCTCTCGAGTTTGAAAATAGCCCCCCAGGGGGTCGATTCTCGACTCGTAGGAATTTTTTCCTATAGGAATTTTTGACATTTTTCTACACATCGGAAATTTATGACATTTGTCTACATGTAGGAAAGTGTCACAAATTCCTATAGGAAAAGGTTCCTACAAGTCGAGAATTGACCCCCTGGGGGGCTATTTTCAAAGTCGAGAGAATTCATTTCTCTCGAGAGAAATGTCATACGTCAACGTAAAACAGTAATTTTTAGGGTCCTAAGGGCCAGTGTGAACTCACTGATTGTTTCTCACGGTTTATTTAGAGATAATTAATATCCTCCTAAGATTTTTAATCCTAGAGGCCTTTAAAAACAGCGTTTTTACATTGACGTATGACATTTCTGATGAGAATCTTGAGAGAAATGAGTGCTCACATACTTTGAAAATAGGTCCCCTATCGTGTGGTAGAATTTTTATTTTACGTTCAAAAAAAATGTCAAATATACCGGGTGTTCAAATTAAATAAGGGTTACAGTTAAATACCGCCTTTTATAAAAAAATCAAAGTTTAATAATTTTTTGGGTAAAACATTTTAGCTAAAATTGTTTTTTTATAGCAAACCATAATATATGGCCAACTTTTTTTCGCGCAGCAAAATTTTCAAGTAGATGTTACTCAATAAGTAGAAATCCAATAAAAAAATGTTTCCTTTAGAAGTTTCTTGTTATTTTCATGAACTCTAAGAATACCTATGTAAAAAAATAGGGTTCCAATTTGAAAAAAAATCCACCTCGATATGGCCATATTATGGTCAGCTACAAAAAAAATAATTTAGCCAAAATGTTTCCCCTAAAAAACTATAAAACTTTTGTCTGATGCCTTTTTTTTATAAAATGCATATTTTTGGCGATATTTAACTGTAAAACTTTAAATTTAAACGCCCGCTATAATCATCAACATACGTTCTTTTATCACAAAACACTAAATTATAATACCAACTTACTAGAAATCATCGTTCAGATTTGGTAACTAGAAACAACGTAACGACTTTGTTATTGAATAGAGTTTCAAAAATTATCGTTATAAAAGTCGTTGGTTGAACTGTCGTTAGCTTAACGATGTCGTCCATAAACGATAAATTACTGAATAGGGCCCTTAGTACTAAACTTAGCACTAAATTGTCATTAATTTTTAGTACTAAATTTAGAACTAAAAATATTTTTTTCCGTTTGCAACGATACCAATTTTTAGTACTAAACGCATTGACGTATTAATACGTGAAATAAGCGGAGAAATGAAATATTCCGGGTAAAATCAATGAACTGGAGTGGGGTAGAATGCTTGTCAATAGGCTTGAGATGCGACTCTATGGGCGAAGACAGGTTATTTTTCATCTCACTCGGGAGTATTTGTAACAACCATTTTCTATTTCACTTTGTTATTGTCTGATCCACCAGCTTGTGGATTGAACAATAACAATGTGAAACAGAAAATGGTTATTATAAATACTCCTGAGTGAGATGAGAAATAAAAATGGCTGCGCCCATAGAGTCGCATCTTGTTCTATTGATACAATATACACATTAGCTTTCTACCCCACTCCAGTTCATTGGGTAAAATAGACAAGTGAAGTAAATGGTGTTCTTATTATCAATTTGACATGACAACAACCAAATACAGCAATGCTACTATAAACCACAAAAAAAAACAATAAAATCTACAAAATCAAACAAGCGATAATGCAAAATTTTCGCTAATTATAAACAAAATGGTACAGAAAATACCGTCGTGTCCATTTTTTCTGTGAAAAACTTCTGCGCAACATTGCGACGCACTTTTAGTACTAAATTTAGTAGAAAATAGAACAAGTTCTAATTAATTAATGACTTTTTTTAGTACTAAATTTGCTGTTCGCAACGTAAATTTTTTTAGTACTTAAAAAATACATTAATTTAGTTCTAAATTTAGTACTTAATTTAGTATCGTGACATACAGCCTTTAAGAGTCGATTCCACCCATATTCCACCGTTGGAGCGCATTCAGGAAACACGCTCCGACCAAAAAGAGCGTGCTCAATTTGCTCTTGGTTCGTTCAGGAACAGTAGAGCGTTCAATTTGGACATTTAGCTACTCTCGTTCAGAAAGTCGAGTCAAATTAAGCTATATCAAGCTAGCGCGCACTCTGTGGCGGCACCATTCAAGACCTGGCGGGTTTTTTGTAGCTTTTTTGTTACACTATTTGCAAATTTGTAGCTTAGCCCAGGTCCGAAAAAACAGCGGATCCGCTAGCTTGAATTTCCATAAATTCCATAGTAGCGGCACAGATTCAGACCCAGCTGGTTTTTCGTAACTTTTTTGTAGCTTTTTTGTTACGCTAGTCTCCCTTTTGTAGCTTGTACTGAACCTGAGAAAAGCGCGGATCCGGTAGCTTAGCGGATATTTGTAGCGGCACCAGCCCGGACCCGGCTCATTTTTTGTAACTTTTTTGTTACGCCTGTTTCGATTTCGTTGCGAGGCCTGGGGGGTTATTTTCAAACTCGAGAGAAAGGAGTGCTCTATCGAGAGAAATGTAGTATGTGACTTGGCCTTGTACACACATCGGTTATGGGTACACACATGGAGGAAGGGTACACACCACAAAGCACGTATCTTCTAGAGACCCCACGCCAATGTTAAACTTTTAAACCAAATTGGCGCCACCTTGTGTTTGGAGCTGGAACTAAAATGACAATTGACAGATGGCGGTAAATTCAAATTGTAATTGTTAGGAGTAGGTAGTAGTTTTAAATTAAATTTTAAATGATTTCCACATAAATTATTTTATAAAATAAAGAATGGAACTAGTAAGTTCGAAACTTTTATTTTACAAAATAATTTAGGTCGATTATACCAAATTTGAGGAATTAATTTGTTATAAGCAGGGGTCTGATGTGAAGAGTTGGTTCTGCATATTATTATTAAATAAATATAAGATATATCAATAAACAATAAAAAAGAACATTCTTAAAATATGTTTATTAATAACTTAAATAATATTATTAGATAAAAATAAATACAAATAATAATACATATTTAACGAATACTTACTTGCAGCAAATAGGTATATAATCTCAAATCTTTAAAATACCTATCAATAATTTAAATGTGAAGTAGAGACTAGGATATTACATTTTATTAACACTAAAATAATATATTTTATAAATGTCTTTTAAACCGAGGACAAATGTAATATAGGTATTGTATTAAAAGGTGAATCCTTTTAACTATTCATTCAATGATAAATAGGTATTTTCCTTCCAAATACAGATGGTGGTATTACTCCACTGCTTTGTGTATTACTCTCTTATGTGAAAAATGATTTCGGAATCTAGTCCAGTGATAAATTGATTATCAATTAGTTGTTATACCCGTTTCTTTTTATGGTGCAGTCAGATGCATGGTGAATTAATGAAGTTTTTCTCGAAGTTTTCAACGTAGCACCCACAGGTAGCACCAAAATTATTGCAAAACACAGTAGGTTATAACTAAGACGAAACTATAAACAGAAACCAAAAGCCAAAGCCAACAAAAAATCACTAAAATCAGACGGAAAAATGAGATTAACCAAAAACATAAATAAATACACGTCACATCTTTGGAGTCTTTGGTTAAGTTTTTTTCCCATAAAGCTTACAAATGGAGTAAGAAATCAGAATTTTACCAGTAGCCCCATCTAGAGTTTGGAGCAAATAGCATAAAAAATGTCAATTGTCGGTTTTGACCTTGGTCATTCACGTGGAACCTCTATGTGCTTTGTGGTACACACGCCCCTAATCACGTGGTCAAATTCTCCTGAGAATATGAATTCTCTCGAAATAAACCGAGAGAAAAGGTCACTGAGTAGTCATGAGGTAGTCACTGGTTCTCCTGAAATCTTGAGAGAAATGAGTACTCACACGGTTTGAAAATAGGTCCCCTGAACGTGAGTAATTAATCGTGTCTCCATGAGCGTGAGAGAAAAGTGCGTTAATTTAAAATCAAGTTTCGGCCTCTACAAGTAATATGTGCAACTCGATAGTGTGACTATCTGTTGCTAGATGGCACCAGTATTGCATTTCACGAATTATGACCATCTTCCATCAAATATATTTTTGAGAAATTTAGATATAATCTCAAAATCAGACATTTTCGACGGTATGTATATTAATTATTTGTCCGATATTAATGTAAAATACATATTGACAAGATTATTAAAATAGTTGTATGTCGGACGCCACTATTTTCCCGATCGGGTGTTTTCGGTTATTTTTACTGCTAAAAACTTACTGCTAACTTCACACCGGTGGTAATAGCTACCAAGCAATTACCTATTCTCACTATACAGGGTGTTAAAAAAAAAGTGTCACAAAAAGAAATGGGGAATAGTATGACCCAAAATAAGCAGAAAAGTCTTAATAAATATATGACCGCAAATTAACGGTTTCGGAGATACGGACCATTTTGTGTTTATAAATTTTACAAATCAATTCAACTTAAAACTTATTAAAAAAATAATAAGGATTTGAGAAAACGTCGTAAACAAAAATGATCGTTCCACCGTCATAACCGCTTATGTTTCTGATTTTAAAACACGGCCATTAACTCTGGCAAATAGATAAAAAAAAAATTAATGTAGCTTTATTTTGAATTTGAACTGTATAATAAGCGTCCAAGTTTTACCTAGACATTTGTTTGAAACCCCGCCCGGACGCCCTCCACACTAGAGACAAATCTGGACAGAAGCTCTATGTGTGTTTGTCTGATAAGAATATACAATTTACGGAAATATGTATCTGACAGGTTGTGGTAAAAACCAAACCAGTGATCCTAACTTCCTCAGTTAGGACACAAAAATAACTGAAATAATGAAGGAAAGTTCAGAAAAGCAAAACAGAATCACGGATGGCTGAGATGAGTTTTTTAAAGATTAAATAAAAATAACACCACATAAAACATTTATTATATAATTTAAAACAATATCAATTTATTACATCGTACTATTTTTCCTATTTCTTAGAATACTTGTTATAAAGAATTCTCCAGCTTTATAGGAACTTCGTACGAGCGGTCCACTAGCAACATACATGAATCCCATTTCTTTGCCAACCATTTCCCAATGTTGAAACTTAGCAGGCGTTACATATTCTACAACTTTTAAATGCCTCTTTGTTGGTTGCATATACTGACCTAAAGTAACACAATCTACACCATGATCATGTAGATCCTTTAATGTTTGTTCAATTTCGCTATCTGTTTCACCCAAACCCAACATAATAGATGACTTTGTTATGAGATTAGTATTAAATTTTTTTGCAGCTTGTAAAGTAGAAAGTGACTGGCGGTACTGTGCTCTTCTATCTCTAACATATGGAGTTAAGGACTCTACAGTTTCAATATTGTGGGCATATACATCCAATCCACATTCTGTTATAATTTTAACAGCATCTAAATTGCCTCTAAAATCTGGTACTAAACATTCAACAAGAATATTAATATTTCCCTTTTTTATTGTTCTCACAGTTTCTGCAAAATGATTTGATCCTCCATCAGGTAAATCATCTCTATCTACAGATGTTAGAACAACATAATCAAGTCCCCAAGAAACAATAGCTTTAGCTGTATTTACAGGTTCACTTGGATCAGGCAGTGGAGGTGCTCTTGAAGTTTTAACTGAACAAAACCTGCACCCTCTAGTGCATGTATCCCCCAACAACATTATCGTAGCCGTGGCTGTCGCGTGTTCTCCACCGCCCCAACATTCTCCAATATTAGGGCATCTAGCTTCCTCACAAACTGTGTGTAAATTAAGATTTCTTAGTTGTTCTTTAATCTTACTGAAATTTTTACCAGTAGGGATTGTTCTTTTTAGCCAAGGAGGTAATCTGAGGCGATGTTCTTCTCCCTTTTCACGTTTAAGTTTTCCTTCATATTGCATCCATTCCTTTGAGTTTTCATTTGATAGTGTATTTAAATCGGATCGATCTAGGGTCTCTGCAAACTCTTGTAATGATGGGCCATTTTTGATACGTTCTTTTAAAGCTTCTAAATTAGTTTTTTGTCTTACATTATTAAGAACCGATCTGCGTAATTTAAATAACCCTGATTGGTGCATATTGCATCTCTTATTTCATCCCTTGCTTTATCATCACAATTAAATAGGAAGGTTAATAAATAATAATAAGGTTATGTTTTGATTGTTACGAAATGTATCACACGTGACGAAACGAGTAAGGTGAAAGGTGAAGGAAAGCTTACTTAGCCAGATGCCACTGATATAGCCCAAAAAAGGAAGAAGAAGAACACAATATTTTAGGTTAGGTTTTGTGTTATTCAATCAATCCAATATAAAATAAAATTATTCACTTTAGATTCTTCAGAAGTTCAGGTGCTTTAAAAAATAACACCCTATTAATTCTACATTCTACCACCTAGTAAGTATTTAAAATAGCCAATTACTTTACATGAAAATAATATTGTTTTAGACATGCTTTAATTGTTAAAATGCATCTAACTTCTCTTATGAGAACTGTTTTATACAGAGCATCGTTTCGAGTAAATACGAAATCCATAATGACTACACCACGAAAACTCCAAGAAGTCATAGATGATCTAAAAGGCAACCCATTCTATGATAAATATGCTTCTAAAATTTCAAAGTTGCAAAAGGAGGCTCCTAATGAATTTAAATCTAGGATCGAGGAAACTGGTATGACAAAAACAAAAAAATTCGATGCTCCTAAGAAAGATGAACGACAGTATTCACAATTGTTGAATCCTAAAACAAAGATCAATGAAGTAACTCAGTTAAAGCAAGAAAGCTTAGAGAAAATTATGAAAATAGAGCTGATTAAGGACAAGAATAGTGAAGAGATCAAATTAATTTGGGAACAGTATCATAGGCAAAAAGAATATTGCATTGCAGCAACGATACCTTCAAAAGATTTTGATAAATTAAATGAGAATTCTAAAAAACATCCAACTTTCATCTTTGCTTTACCTAGATCCCAAGGTTATGAATTTATATTATGTCAGTTTTCACAAAATTCTGTGCATTTTACCCCTCTTCTGTACTACCAAGTTCACAAAGAAAATGCACCTGAATGCCTCACTATTACACATTATGATGAGTTTAAAGATGATAAACATATTGTTTTGATGAGAGGGGAATATGATAAGAACATCATTAATGCTCAAGAAGCTCAGTGTCTTGCAAATCAATTACAACTGTACTATGTACAAGAAGATCCAGAGAAAAAGAAACTATTGGAAATTTTCACAAATGAGCCTGATAACTTTAAACACATGGATCTTATTAAACATATAGAAAGTTTGTCAATTTCTTAGGTATTACATTGTAAAATATGTTATAGGTATACTTGTGTAATATATATTTCAAAGTGTAAACCATCTTTATATTTAAAAAAGTGGTGAATTAAACATGATAAATAAAATAACATTTTCATTTCACTTATATTTGTACAGTGTATAGGTATTCTAAGTACATTTAAAAAATCTATTTATTATACAGTGCTGCAACATAAATCACAATATAAAAATAAATTATAAACAGTAATATACTGTTTTAAAAATATAATCAAATTTAAATAATAAGACAGCTTTTTAGACATCTAATGATTAAAATACTTAACCTAACCAGACTCGGACAAATATAAATTTATTGTGGATTTACCAATTTTCTATGAATAGAAGATCTTAGATGTTTCCTCAATGCCCCTCTCTGCCTAAATCCCTTTTTACAGAAGTCACATTGGAATGGTTTTGCCCCAGTATGAATATTTTCATGTTCATGCCAACTAGAGTAAGCAGCAAATCTTTGAGAACAAAATTTGCACTGGTAAGGCTTCTCTCCAGTGTGTATACGCATGTGAACCTTTAAATTTGAATGTGTAGTAAATATTTTACCACAATGCCAACACTGGAAACTATCTCGCTTTATTTCCAGTTTGGGTTTTGGCTTGGATACATGTTTTTTATTAGAATGTTTTCTATTCATATGCATTTGATAAGTCTTTCTTTTTTCAAAAGATTTCCCACATATACTGCATAAATTAGAGGAGGTCAGAAACCTACAGTTTCGTATTTTTGGTCTAGGTTTTCTAGGTTTAGAGTCTTCATGAACTGTTAAATGATTTTGTAAATAAGAATAAAGACTAAATGTTTTACCACAAATTTTACAAGATCTTGAACTTAAATAGCCACCTACATCTAATTCCACTTCAAGTGGTTCTACATTGCTTTGTTTTTTAATATGTACATTATTCATATGTGCTTCCAAATGATCTTTCCTTACAAACTTCTTTTCACATATATAACACTCAAAATGATACCTTTCTGCTTCGTTTTTAAAATGTTTAGAACTCATGTGCCTCTCTAAAGTGCTTTTTTGTGTAAAACTTTGATCACATATATTGCAAACAAATGGTCTAAGACCTGTGTGTGTTCTTCTATGTCTCTGCAAGTCAATTTTCTTAGAAAATAACTTTCCACATTGTGCACATTTCCATTTTTTCTTTTTTAAACCTATTGCAATTTCTACATTTTCTGTGTGCTCCTTCTTTTCATGTATTTTTAGTATCTGTTTACTAACACCCTTCCAATCACATATGAGACATGTCCACTCTAAAGAATCAGATTTTTTATTTTTAACTGAACAAACTCTTTTTAAATGTATTGTATACCTTTTCAAACTTGAAAACTGTATGTAACAATATTTACAAGTGAATTTATTTTGTTTTTTTGGATCTTCTTCCTCAGATTCAAAATAGACTGTGTCAGGATAACCATTGTCTGTAGACGCACCCGACTCTTTATCTTCCTGATCTATATAGTGATTATCAACTTTTCCAATTAAAACGTCAATTTCTTCTTTAAACACTCTCTCCTCTTGAAAATTACACAAAATTTCATTGCTATTGTTACATACATCTATGAAATTCCGTATTTCATCTAATTTGGTCATACAATTAGTACACATGTTCTTTGGTAAAGTATCACCTTCATGTACCTAAAAAAATTCTGGTACTATATTTCTTGTGGTACAGAAAAAATAAACTTACTTTTATATTTGTAATATTATGAATTAAAGACAAGTACTTGGAGCTCTCCAATAAGCTTTGAGAACTGTTACTTTTGAGACAGAGTCGACACATAGTTGGAAAATCTACTGGGCTTATTTCTAATTCTAACATTGTTTATATAAATTGTAATTTTTATGAAATTTATTTGTTGTTGACAAGAATTAACTATTGATTGACTGTCATAACTGTCACCATTTTGGCCTTTATAAAATAAGACATTCGGATAATAGATTTCCCATCCTTTGACCTCTACCTTGTTACATCATCAATCTAGAAGAATTACTGCGAACGTATAACATTCAAGCTTTTTTAAATACAAAGAAGACATTTTCATATAAAAAAATTTTAAAATTCGATCTCAAGTTGATTTAAATAAAAAATTTAAAGTCGCCTTCCAATGTAAACTTTCGTGATTAATCAAACAAAAACTGGTCTAAAAATAGAAATATTTTATTTGTAAATTTTAACAAAAAAAAAAAAATGACATTTAATAATATTCAGGTGTTTGGCAACACGAGAAAAGACACATTATTCCTGTAACAATTTCTGATGCACAAAAAGCCAGTTGCATAGCACAAATGATGTATTCAAATCGTAATATTTCACTTTGCCATATCATTAGATATACTACTCCTAATACAGAGGGAATTGTTAATAAAATTGCTACAATTACGGGCCATTCTGAAAAATAATAATTATTCCAATAATATCGGTGTTTTCTTTAAAAAATTGTACTTACTTCTCTCTGTTAAATTTCCTCTACTAGCTAAAAGTACCCTTAATATTTCTATACAGAGAACTCCCATGAGCACACCAAAATCAGTGGTATAATGATGTAAACTATTAAAGCTAAAATACTTTACAGCATTCATTCCTAGTTCACATACTGCAAATAATCCAAAATAGTAGGAGTTTAAATAAAGTAGGACTTCAAACGTTAAGGAAACATTCATTTTAAGCATGTTTAATGTAGATTATTAATAAATAATTTCTATCATTTACAAAATAGTGTTGGATCAATACAAACATTGAGTGCGCGCTTTTCAATTTCAAGTATATTTTTTCTTGTTGTAATGTTGGTCATTCAAACATAAATAATGTATGGCATTTTCTCGAGAACTGCACTTGAAATCAATATATATATATATATATATTTTACAACTGACTGAATAGGTCTTTTCCTTTGCATCGAAAGTGTAGCGCTGAGCTACGTCACTTCTGAAAATATCGTTCTATCCATACAATTTGTATAAACGGAACGATATTTTCAGAAGTGGTGTAGCTCAGTGCTACACTTTCGATGCAAAGGAAAAGACCTAATAATACATATTTTATTTAATTCAAGTTGGTATTTACACATTAATTCTGTGATTAAAAATTTTATTTACATATATTTTTGCTGCGTTTGAATATCCACATTGGATGCATCTGAGATGTTTAGGCTTGTTTTGGTTCTTTCGAAAACTAATTCAGGATCACTGAATTACACACAATCAGCTAAGAGGTTGTTATAACCTCGCGATGTGTTCTTGAAAATTAATTGGTTCATTGTATTTGAGAACAGTATTGGAATTCTCATCTTTTAATTCGGCACGTGTTCGTTCCACAGAATGCGATTCGTATGTGATGTCTCTCTCTATTCAATTCGTTACGTGTTGAGTACGCACATAAGAATCCCAAAGAAGTAGAGAGGGTAGAACGATAAGGTACCGTCTGCGCATCCATCACGAGTGTAGAAATTATGCGTGATTCTGCCTTCCATTCTTACACACGTAAAATGACAAGGAGAGGTTGCCCATAAATCACTGGGCTGAGTTCGAAAAGTACACTCGAGTGCGCTCGATTGACACTAGCCGTTCGAAAACTCTAGAATGATTTAGTCTAACGTTACGCTGTACAGTTCGAAAACTACGTTCTGTGATCGCTCGAGCCGTCGCTTTTTCCAACCGACTATTAGGCATTCCAACGACCTGTCCAAATGGCTACCAGTGGGGACTGACAGTTTATATATGGCAACCCTGTTGTCATGTTGTCATTAACAGGGCCAATGATACATATATAGTTATATAGATTGCTCAAAGCTGGTCGTTTGCGAGCGGCCATATTGCCTGGAAATATTTATTAATTTTGAATCGGTTGTGTTTTAAAACCATTTTCAGCCTTTAGATATTTAAAAAATAATAATAGCTTACATTTTTACTTCAAGGCATAAGGCTTATGTTTAATTTGAAAAATATGGATGATCAATCTATGTAACTATCTATTTCATTGACCTTATCAAATCACCTGGCCTACAGGGTTGCCATAATTTTGCCCAATCATAACCTGTCAAAACCCACTGGTAGCCATTCAGTTTGGAATGCCTAATAGGGACCGTGCGTGAAATATAGAGGCAGCACTACTGCCGAACTTAGCCCTCTCTAGTGTTTAATTTTAGAATTAAATGGGGTAAACATTGCAAGTAAAATAATAAAGGGTAATTTTTTAAATATTAAATATAGTTAAAATAGATACCGGCCCGTACCAAACAATCGTGTACATGGTCAAAATGACGTTAAATGTTTAAAACATTATAAAATCTGGACATGCATATACATTTTAAGCAAAAAGATTTAAATGGCTAAGTGACAATAAATTGTAAAGTTTGTACCTTAAACAAGTGTATCCAATGTTAAAATATCGCCATGGAAAGATTTAAGATTATTAAATTTGCATGCTTATAGCTGTGCTTGTTTATCATCATATAGGATGCATCTGATGAAATGTGAATTTTTATCACGTACAGAAGATTAGGGTTAAATGTAGATGTAATAAAGAAACACATCTAGACCTACTAGCCATGTGGTAAAAATGACAATGACAAGTTTTATACTTTTTGTGTTTGACCTTGAGTCATTATAATATGAATACAAAAGTAGTTGTCGTTGTAATTTTTCTTATGATTATTTACTTTAAAACTATTTTTGAATTTAAATACCTACTCTCTAGTTACTGATGGTTAGCGATACCTATATTATAGAAAAAATCTAAATTTGAAAACTTAACAAAAATCAAACAAATGATCACTTTTATATTCATGAGCATATATGGCTAGCATAAAGAAACAATTCTACATAAAATACATAATTCAATTTTGAAAAGGTAATGTAAACAATTTTGATATGAGGTATAAACAACTTTGGTAAGAGTTGTAATTGGACACTTATCTATTATTCTGAATAATGTTTAATGGTAATGTCACTAATCTCTTTTGACAGTAATTGCAATGTATTATTTATGATTTGTTTATTTTAATAATAAATAGAAATAGTTAATAAATTGTAAAGAGGGCCGTGATATTTTTGTCAAATTAGACATTCTTATTTCATAATAGAGAGTTATTGCAAGATCAGTTAAGGTCAGTCATTATTAGTGCCGCTCTTATTTTGACATCTAAGCATGCGCAGATCACTAACTTTAATAAAGATTGTGCCTGTCCTTAATAAGAAAGTTATTGCAAGTTCACTTAAGGTCAGTCACTATTAGGGCCGCTTTTATTTTGACATCTAAGCATGCGTAGATGTTTATGTTCTAAAACTGACTTTATTAAGGATTGTGCCTGTCCTTAATTGTGGATGTTTAAGGGTAGCAGGTAGTGGCGACTTTATAGTTTTCGGATGCGCTCGCCGACATTCGTATCCGTTAGAAGTTTTTAATTATTAAATATTTACTATAATCGTCATTTAAACCTTCTAAAATTATAATTTGTTATGCCTCTTTAATATTATAGACAACAAAAAAGATTAACTATGATTTAAAGTTTAGTGGCTGGCTTTATAGAAATTTGCAATATCTCTCTATTTAGGACAGGCACAATCTTTATTAAAGTTATTGATCTGCGCGTGCTCAGATGTCAAAATAAGAGCGGCACTAATAGTGACTGACCTTAAGTGAACTTGCAATAACTCTCTAATAACATTCTACATTAGTTTTAATCAACAGAATAAACCATTATCTGTAAAATTATATTTATATAAAATGTTCATTTAAATATGTAAAAATCTTAATGACAAGAAAACACTAAAGATTATAATTTCTAAACCGGTTCTGTAAATGATTTCTTTACAACTATGTGCTCAAAATTGATACAAGCTAGATAAAAAGAAAACTTTGCCCAGTGAAATACGCTTTTCGTCGTCTGATTTACATATGGATAAGCAATCTTTGTAATTATGTATATCATTGGGTGTGAGGCATAATAATTGTGCTCTGTGGAAATTTATAAAATTTCTTTATCGAATGAAATCCAGGTTTCCAAAGTGATGTGTTTGTACATCCACGGATGCAGCAAGTTTTTTCGATATTGATATTACGAAAATAATTCGACTTCATTTTATTAATAATTATTAAACAATAAATGCCGTATAAAACATTAATAAATACCCCCCATAAAGTTCACATTTTTGTCACCAGTTAGCGTTAAAGTCATGACGCACGGTCCCTATTTAGCCGGTTGAGATTCACACGACATGCGCATTTTACACTTTGACTGACAAGAGTAACAACCTTGAAATTCTCCCGCTCTCCGTCATTTACGTTTTGTAAAAAAAGTAGTTTGTAGTAGTTGGTTTGGTTCAAAATCAATTAAAATAAATTCATCGTCATCATCACTACTCTCTGATTTGCTTTCAATATTTAAGAGCCCATCCAAAAGGACCGATTGCAAACTTGCCAAAGCCGCAACCACTTTACGTTTACGATTCATATCGTATAATAAATAACAGTGTCTATCTTGGCTTTGTTTTTGATTACTTTTCGTTTTTAGGTTAGTTTACTTGACTTTGACCGACCACAACACTCTACCCGTTCGAAAAGAAGTCACACGAGCGACTAGCGAGACAACCGAATCACACAAACGTCACACCATCGAATGAAAATGATCTATCGGAGCGTACTTTTCGAACTTGTTTGTGTTTTGGCTGTTGTAAGCTTTTTTGGCGGCAATTCTTCGTTATCTTGCTTATATTTATGATTTTTTATGCTTTTATTCCGATTTAGTATTAAATTATACTTGTTAATTATTTTTCGATGCACTATTTTATAATTGTTGTACAAAATGTTGTTAAACCGTCCCTGAATTTTGTTTACAAAAGGTCTTTTCCTTTGCATCGAAAGTGCGTAGCACTGAGCTACACCACTTCTGAAAATATCGTTCCATTTATACAAATTGTATGGATGGAACGACATTTTCAGAAGTAACGTAGCTCAGTGCTACACTGTCGATGCAAAGGAAAAGACCTAATATGTGCAAAACGAAATTGTGCATAGTGTCCAGACTTTTTCATTGACAGTTATCATTCTACCCCTCTCCACTTCATTGAAGAATCCCTGTCCAGGGGGTCGATTCTCGACTCGTAGGAATTTTTTCCTATAGGAATTTTTGACATTTTTCTACACATCGGAAATTTATGACATTTGTCTACATGTAGGAAAGTGTCACAAATTCCTATAGGAAAAGGTTCCTACAAGTCGAGAATTGACCCCCAGGAATCGACGGTTCTGTTTGAACCTTAGAATATATATAGTCAGGAAGGAGGAATCTTAAACGACCTTGGAATCGCGATGGTATCTAATTTTGACAGTGAACTAGACGAATATGGCGACAAGTGTTTCCGGTCTACCAGTGACGTACTTTCATAAAGGGGCGTAGAAAGGAAAATAATAAATTCTCATTTGCATATTATCTAAATTTACCGATTTCTCTCATTTTAACGAATTGCTATTTTCTTGCGAGAAGTTTGCACCTTTTTTATTAACCTTCATTATGTGAATAAATTTTACTTTAAAATTGCATGTTGGGTGGGATAAATATAGGAAAATATTTTTGGGATAATTTATAGAGGGATTTCATTTGAAAAATCAAAGCAATAATGTATTAAAAAAAATATTGACTTTTTTATGTCTTTATTCTTTATTAATCTACATTTTACAAATTATTAAGGTTTGAAAAATAATTATGTTTTGTAGATATGCGTTAAAAAAATTAAATATTCTATAATTATACTTAGGTCAAACACCGCTGTGATATTTCTTTCTTAGATGCTTTTGTTAGAATCCATATAAATAAAACTTCCTAATATCGAAGAGAATTTCTGATCATTTTATTACATAATATTATTAGTAATATTTTTTGCAGGACAATTTTGCATAAGCAGGTAAAACACCTTTCCAAGAAAGGATCCTATAACGTAATAATGATTCTATGATTAAAAAATAGATTATTTTTAAATGTACATTCAACGCATTATTTATATGCTTAGTCTAGTTATGATGAGAGTCAATTTGTACTCTAAGGTATTTGATATCATTTGTAATACTTATATAAAACTACTGAACGTTACCTTTTATTGTTTCTATAGGAAGAGGCCATCTTTTTGTAACTGTATAATGGAACAACATAGGTTTTATCAAAGGTTTGTAAGTTTTTATAATCAAACCATTTGAAAAATTTTATAAGATCTGTTTCTATTAATAATTTTAATCAATCCCAGTTCTCTGCATTTTACAGAATAACTGTGTCGTCTGAAAGCTTACAATATTTTCATCTGTATTTAAACGAAAAGTTATTTAAAATAAAATTAAACAAGATAGGACCTAAGACAGTATCTTGAGGCATGCGATATGCTACTTATTTTCTTACTTGAGATATTATTCATTCTATTTGTGTTCGTTTTTGTAAATAACTTTGTAATAAATTATATAGGGTGCATCATATTCATATAATATACTTCTATTATACGAAAAAAACGGCACATGATATAGTTAGTAAAGAATTTATTTACTTATATAGTTCAACCGGACCACTTTTATTGTTGGAACAGCTGTTGGTAGAAGTCTTATTCTTGGTTTTGAGGTTCGATCAAAACAAGCTGCTTTAAAATGGCGTGAACACAAAAAATTAAGATATTTTGACTCACAATTTGTTTGTTGCATGAACTCAAGCCATAAAGTGAAACAGAAAATGGTTATTATAAATAGTCCCGAGTGAGATGAGCAATAAAAATGGCTGCGCCCCACATACTTTGATTAAAATCAAAGTATATGTGCTGCGCCCATATATCTATGATCCACATCGAATGCAGATGTTGTGATAGAAGATTAGATCTGAATGTAGATGTAATCTAAGGATGTAATAAACTCTCTAGACTTTATTGGTCACGTGATAAAATGACAATGACAAGTTAGAAGTTTATACTTTTTAAATTTCAGTTTTGACACTAGAAATCAACCTAAATTTGAAATTTAAACAAAAATTAAACAAACTAATCACTTTTATATTCATGCTAGCATAAACAAAGGATAAATCGATAAACTTAACTTCACAGAACACTTACTTTCTGGCATGGAACGAACACCTCATTTTAAATCGAGATGTAAAAAATGTAATCTGGACCTGGACGGCTATATGAATAAACAAACACAGATGTAGATGTATGCCGCGTTTGAAAATCCACATCGGATGCATTTTTTACATCTCGAGCGTTTTTTTATCCACATCGGACACATCTGTCCCATTACATTTATGCTGCGTTTGAGAATCCACATCGGATGCATCTGAGATGTAAAAAATCTTTGATCACGTGATTCAGTATACGTAAATGTAATGGGACAGATGTGTCCGATGTGGATAAAAAAACGTTCGAGATGTAAAAAATGCATCCGATGTGGATTCTCAAACGCAGCATTAGGTATACTGAATCACGTGATCAAAGATTTTTACATCTCAGATGCATCCGATGTGGATTCTCAAACGCGGCAAATGTAGATGTGTCCGATGTGAATAAACAAACGCTCGAGATGTAAAAAATGTATCGGATGTGGATATTCAAACGCGGCAATAGTCAGTGATGTCGCGACTCCCTAGATATACCAGCTACCAGCCCCGTTGTACGCAATGAACTGGAGTGGGGTAGAATGCTTGTCAATAGGCTTGAGATGCGACTCTATGGGCGAAGACAGGTTATTTTTCATCTCACTCGGGAGTATTTGTAACAACCATTTTCTATGTTATTGTCTGATCCACCAGCTTGTGGATTGAACAATAACAATGTGAAACAGAAAATGGTTATTATAAATACTCCTGAGTGAGATGAGAAATAAAAATGGCTGCGCCCATAGAGTCGCATCTTGTTCTATTGATACAATCATTGCGTTCGGTTTGCCACGTTCCTTTAACTCCTTTAACACTTTTAACTCCAAACGACTCTTTTAGCGTTCGGTTTAGTCCGATTGGTGACAGTTTAACACGCTTAAATGTCATTTAAAAGCACCCTAAAATTTGTCCCGCTCCAGCCCCTGACTGACCGAACTCGCCTAATATACACATTAGCTTTCTACCCCACTCCAGGGGGTCAATTCTCGACTTGTAGGAACCTTTTCCTATAGGAATTTGTGACACTTTCCTATATGTAGGACAATGTCATAAATTTTCGATGTATATAAAACTGTCAAAAATTCCTATAGGAAAATATTCCTACGAGTCGAGAATCGACCCCCAGGGCTGCTATTTTCTAACTCATACGAGTGACTTTCGCATACGGAATCTTGGCGTTTTCGTATGAAATGCATTAAACTGTATTTTGAAGGAATCGAAAAATATCCGTATGCGAAATTTTTCTACGGAAATACATCGCATGGTCAAAGGGATACGAATTAATGCATCCGTATACTAAATTCAACTGATTCGTACGTGATTAAGTTAATATATGCTACAAATAAATGACAAAAAAGCGGTTCTTGAATTAAAAGCGAAATATTTAACAATATGATTAATTTAGCAGCATTTGAAGAAGTTGAAATATTATCTAATATACATTAGAACTAAGGAGAAGATGACTCCAAGAATTAGACAATTATTTTGAAGCAAGAAGAAATATTTAACCTGCAGAATGTGTAACAGAAAATAATAATTTTTTGCTTGATAACCTAGCTTTAGGTACATGTTTTTTTATTTGGTGTCATTGGCATTTGCTACTTAGGTTATTAGCCTCGTGTTCTATGTAGGCTTTGTTACTGTTTTCCAACACCACTTTCGAAATAGCACTGTTAATTAAAACCCAACAGTGGATGATTGAGTGGGGAATCCTGCCTGTACATTGGTATTAATCTTTAATGAAGTTAAATAAAAATCCCGTCACCAGCGGAATTCGAACCCGGGACCTTTGGATCCGAAAGTCCAGACTACAACCACTGAGCCACCCACCCCCTGGTTAAATATTAATACGAATTTAGTTAAACTAAGGCTTACGTATATCGCCCTTTATGCGATACAGTAAACATTTATAGCTTATTTGATTTTCCCACGTCAAAAATACCGACTTTTACGTTTATGCGAGAGAAATTAATTGAAATATGACATTAATGAATTATTTTTATAACTGTAACACCCTGTATTTCAGTAAATATTAATATTTGACCCCGTTATTAGATAAAATAAAAATATATTTTTATTTATATAATCTGTAGGTAAAATATTACCTACCTATTTTTTTTATCAATTATCCTCTATAAACGGTCCCATAAATAATATACTTATTGGCTTATATTAGCTTAGAACATTTTATTAAACCTAAATACTTTAGGTTTGAGTTACCTAATGCTATATTGGCCAAAATAAAAGCCGTTGAACAAGCGAAAATTTTGCAAAAATTACATTCAAACATCCTAAAATAAAATACGTGAAATAATAAAGGTCAATACAGATAACTTTTCTAGTGCTCAAAATAATGACAGTTAACCATTTATATATAATAAAATGTCATTAGCGGCAACAATACAGACAAATATTGAACATTAAAAGCATCCCTTACGATTTGCAAAAATTTTCACCTTGTCATTTCTTTATTGTTGTGGTATAACTGTATTTATTCCAGCGTTGCCGACGCTAGTCATCCGATTAAAGTTATACGAGACGAATGGCTTATCGCATGGCATCCAAAATACCAAAAACATTTTTCATACGAAAAAAATTCGTATACGAGTACTCGAATACGAATATGTTCGCATAAGTCAGAAAATAGCAGCCCTGTTCATTGGTTGTACGTACACACACACGTCAGGTTTTATATGTCAAAGTCAAAAAGTCATAACAAATAATTTAGTTTTGAATTTTTATTTTATAGTAATTTTAATATAAATTTACTGTTAACATGGATAAAAGTACAGTTGCAGAACTAAACTCACAACATGATTTATATTTACAAGAAATCGAAGGAATAGATGATTATTGGGGCCCTACTTTTCGGTAAAACTAGTGATCCACCCATATATCCTTTTCCTTTAATTATTTTAATTTTTAGAGCAATTTTTGATAGTAACGAAGAGGTAGAATTCAAGAAAAAATTAGGAGAACGTATTAAACACCATGATAAAGACATTGAAAGATTGTGCAATGTTTATTATCAAGGATTTATTGAGTCTGTTAGAGAACTTTTAGAAGTTCGATCTCAAGCTAATAAACTAAATGTAATTGATAAATAATTCATCAAATAATCTTGTAATGCAATTATATTTTTAGAGTCAAGTAGTTACTTTAGATAAACAGGTTCATGATGCTGCTCAGGGTATTACCAAATCTGGGTCAGACTTATTGCAAGCTAGAAAAGTACAAAGTAATATTGCTGTGGTTATAGCACAGCTTAACCTATGTTTGCCGGTATTTACAACTTACTCTAAATTACAAAAACAAATTGCAGAAAAAAGGTAATATACCAAAACACCTATTATTTGCTTTGGTGTATGTACTACTTTATAATAATTTTTAGATATTATCCGGCTCTTAAGACTCTAGAAGAATTAGAACATCTACACTTACCTCATGTTGCTAACTATAGATTCTCAAGACAATTGCAAGAAAATATTCCAAAGTAAATTTATTTTTTGATAAATCTTTATAGGAAAGTGATTTTAATAGAATAATTTAATATTTTACATAAAAAAAGTTTGTTATCTTGTTAAATAAAAATTTCTGTAATCTTGTAGTTTAGGCAGGCATTAATGTGCATGTCTACACCATAGCTTTTTCAACTCACTCTGATAATCAGAATAATTAATTAGTTGCCAGGGTTATATGCTAATTTTTTAAATCCAAGTATAAGTAAATTTGAGTTATCAGATATGCTGTCAAATATAAATTTAGAGAAAAAGGATTTTTTTTAGAAATTAATAAAAATATTCTTTAATTTTAGATTATTTTGATGTATTTTTTTAAATGCAAATTTTTTGCCCTCAATTTTAAAGATAAAAACAAATGGAATTCTGGCTACATGATAGGTGTATAATACAAATTCTAAACAGTGCTCATTAATATCCCTCTAAACTACAAGATTACCAAAATTTGATAATTTTAGGTATAGAGAGAAAATAGAAGCAGCTTCCATGTCTGATTTAAAAGACTTTTTAGAAAATATAAGAAAATTTTCACCAAAAATTGGAGAAGTGGCGATGAGACATGTAAATAATACAATAATATTTTTAACTGTGATAACTCATTTTTTATTGTAGACTAGTGAACAACTTGCTAGTGATCCAACTGTGGTAGGGAGAAAGAAGAAAAGAAATGCCCCTCAACCTCCAGGTATAGTTAAAAAAAGTATAAAAAAAATAAGATTTTACAGAAATTAATAATGTATTTGAAATTGATGCATCAATATAGTAAAAACAAAAATTTTATAATCCTAGGCTGGGAACATTCCCATAGAATAGTTGTATTTCCAGAATTTTAAAATTTTAATGAATTTAACCAAAATGTATAAATCTGAAATTTCGAAAATCTTTAGTGTAAGAGAAAAGCTTAAAAATTTAAAATTAGTTATTTAATCATTCATTGCCCTGCAAATGTTTTTCTTTTTTTTTTTAAAATAAAAGGAAAAATAATTTTAAAGAGCTTTCCCCTAAATATTGCCAAATTTCTCCCAGCAATCCAGAAAAGGCAATGTTAAGAACGCAATCTTCGATTAGCTAAAAAAAGACGGCGGAATGAAGCAATTGGAATTTTAAAAGCAAACGAAGCAGCTAGTGTTTCTGAACAAGAGCTTACCTAAGCAGAGCTTTCTCCCGAAGACCCTCCCAAAAAACTGCTACTTGGATCATAATATCAGTATTTGCATTAAAAAAAAAAAAATCTCCAAAATATGAGATATAGTCGCTAACAGCCCTTAATCAGACACCTTGTGCAGTGGTTTTTCTTGAATCTTGTTCGTTCAAATTGTGCATTATTGTTTGACATTCTTTGTTATGAACTTATGTAAGATACATTTCTTTAAATTAAAGTGTCTTTGCGTATTATACTTGATCACATATTTTATTCTTGTTTTAGTTGCAATTATAAATGAACTAAATGTACACATTTCTTTAAAATAAAGTGTCTTTGCCTATTATACTAGATCACATTTTTTTCTTGTTTTAGTTGCAATTATAAATGAACTAAATGTTCATAAAATCTGTGCAATATTTGTACTTGTACAATAACTTCTCTACTTTCACTTCATAAAAACCACAACCTTTAACAATGAAGTATTTTAGTTTTTTATTATCAAAAACGTCTTGTTACTAGTATTTATCTATGTAGATGCGTTGGATTATTTATGTCATGTGCCAACTAACATACGCAGGAACATACCGGTATTTGTGTATCGTGGCTACGAGACATATATTATTTTTCTACATAGTCTCCCACCCTAAAAGTACATTTTTCTCATCGGATTTGAAGCATTTTTTATTTCATCATCGTAGAAACTCTTCACGACGTTTTTGTAGCCATTGAAGCACAAATACCTCCACCGCGTCGTTGTCGAAACGGTGGCCTCCAAGAGCTTCTATGAGGGATCCAAAAAGATGGAAGTCATAAGGAGATAAGTCGGGACTGTATTACAGATGTTCCAGCATTTCCCAGCTTAATGCATCCAATTTGTGCCTTGTTTTATGGGCCGTACGGGGTCTGACTTTGTCATGTAAAAAACTGACACTTCTGACTGATTTAGTCTTCCTTTTCCTCCATTTCATACCCGCCTGTTTCGACTCGGGCGTGTAGTGATGCACCCAAGTTTTGTCACAGGTGATGATGCGATTGCAGACACTTTGCTCATTTCCAAGGCATCTGTCACGATCTGGAAGACACTTCCGTAACTGATGTTCATTTCCTCAACGATTGCCCTGATATTTATGCAGCATGAGATTTCGCACTGTCTCAATGTTGGCTTGGGTCACACTCGCCCTTGGGCAGAAAATTATTTGTGCCACGCAAACACACGGATTCTTGACAGGGTGTTATCCCCGAACTGTGCCTGTAATCGTTGCAAAATTTGTTAAATTTACCCCTCATTGGCCAAAAACTTGATAATACGTTGCTCCACGAAGACGTGCACTTCTTTCTCATTCGCTTTTCATACTAAAGGGACTCGAGCGAATCGCGGCCTGTTCTCCTATCTCCTACCTATCTGCGCGTCAACTTCGCAAATATAACAATAAATCTGTCCTGTTTATATTTAATACACCCACGTAATATATTTTTTCCCACCCACATGGATATTAGCTTATCTACACACAGACTACAAAACGAAAAAGTATGCTATAGCGTTTAACTGAACGATATATTACATATCCATTCTAGGTAGTGAGAAAACTGCAAAAAATGAAATCCACCAATCACAGTTCATATTTTGGTCACCCAACTACTATAAATTTTAAAAATTTTAAATAGTTGACAATTCTGTCATACTAATTGTCGGTATATTTTTTAGTTATTGAGATTAAATATACATTAAAACGAGTTATTTTTGTGTAGAATCGATAAATAATAGCATTTCTATTTAAACTAATTTAATTATGAGTATTAGAACTAAAATCCCAAATCTAGCGGTGTCTTCCACTCGAGAGACCTGAGTTCGAATCTCGGCTGGGGACTAATAAAATTAGATCTTTTTATTTTTATGTTTATTTTATAAATTAGTAAAAGTCATAAATAATTTTAAAATTAGTTATTTTGTCTTAATAACCTAAAATAATTTTTAAATTTGTAGATTTTCGTAACTGGGTCGTAGAAAAAATATACTGCACAACTCGAGTGGATTATCCATATCCACTCTTGTTGCACAAACTACTATTTCCACACATCCAACTCATTTTGAGCAAAAGTTAGAATATGGGATTTTACTTCTTAAACAACAAAATTTAAATAAAAAAAAAATAAAAAAAAGAAAAAGAAAAACCTTATGTTTTTTACATGTAGTAATTGAACGCTGCTGTCTTAGTAAAACAGTAACAATTCTATAATCTAAATTGTAGGATTAATATTTGGTCATGTCACCTATACGGACATACCACTTTAATTAATTGATTTTTTAAGTTTAATGCAAGATTTTTTATTAATAAAAGTTGTTCAATTGTTCTAGTATATTTTTAATAACATGATAATATTTAAGGGGGTGATTCTTAAACCCATTTTAAGAAAAAAACTTAATATTTAATGTATGTCCTAAACGTCTTAACTTTTGAGATACAGGGTGTTAAAGTTTTAAGAAAAAATTAATTTTTTATTGTCATTTTCATACTACTTTAAATATTTTTATGAAATTGGGTGTACGGTGTGTTAAGTCTTCACTTATTTAGTATATGTAAGTTTAAATTGAAAATTATCATCCGGTATGAAACGTAATATTTCTCATTACTTAAACTTCGCCAAGACGGTACTGCCCTAATTAGTAAAAGACCACATCCGCATGGCGAAGAACGAGTCTTAAATTCGACCAGGCGAAATCAGTATCGCCGCAAATGTCGTAGAGTACAGACGTGTGTTCAAGCTTTGTGATCATTCGATACAAACCCGCAAATTACATTCCCGAATATTCAAATACCAGCCCTAATACAGTCCACGACCCCTGCAGCTTAGGGTGGACGCGCCAAGAAGAGAAGTCTGCGTCAGGAAGCCAAGGAATTTAAAGGTATAACCTGATTGGCGAAGCTTTAAATTTTCTTTCGCGCGTGACATACCGTTAGCTTAACCATAACCTATTCATGGTGTTTATGCATTAAAGATCGTTTTTTGACCTCAAAACATTTTTTATTTCCAACAGTGCCGTCCGTACAGGACTCTATATATTTTTAAAGGAAAAAATTGGCACGCCACTGTTTTCTCTTAAATTAATTTTGTAGTCCCCGTTCAGTTTAGAACAAATTTAATTTCCTAACTTTTTTCCTACGGCTCACCATTTTCGCATATCATTGGACCAATTACGAGAAAAAACGATTAATGTAACTTTGAACAATAATTTATTTAAGAGGATAACTTTTAAACAAAAAAATTATGAAATTAAAGTAATCTACATACATTTTGGAATGGTAACGGAAAATTACCCTGAACGCACAAAGAAATAAATTATATCAGGTGTTGGAAATGTCCACCTCCTGCAAATAAGCATACCTCTGCTCTTCTACTCGTGGACTAACGTACTCTTTGGAAAATGCCGGGGGTGCTATTTTCAAAGTCGAGAGAATTCATTTCTCTCGAGAGAAATGTCATACGTCAACGTAAAACAGTATTTTTAGGGTCCTAAGGGCCAGTGTAAACTCACTGATTGTTTCTCACGGTTTATTTAGAGATAATTAATATCCTCCTAAGAATTTTAATCCTCGAGGCCTTTAAAAACAGCGTTTCCACATTGACGTATGACATTTATGATGAGAATCTTGAGAGAAATGAGTACTCACACGGTTTGAAAATAGGTCCCCGGGAGTGGTTACAAATAGTTTCGCAAGAAACAGAAACTATGATGCGATTTCTTAACTGTTCTTCAGTTTGTATTGGTGTGCTGTAAACCAATGTTTTGAGGTGACCGCATAGGAAGAAATCTAATGAATTGAGGTCCGGGGACCTAAGTGGCCATGCATGTGGTCCGCCGCGACCTATCCAGCGATTATTATAATTATGGTTTAAATATTCGCGAGCCAGAGCACTAAAGTGCGCTGGTGTACCGTCGTGCATAAACCAGAGACGATTTCTTACTATAATGGGAACATCCTCCATCAAAGCTGGCAATTCTTCTTCGAGAAATTACCGGTAATTATGCCCATTTACCATCTCATGAACAAAATCGGGTCCAATTAAATAATCACCGCATATTTCAAACGTTAACAGAAAACTGCTCCTGGGGGTCGATTCTCGACTTTTATTCCCATGGGAAAATAAAATTTTCCCATGGGAATTCAGTTTTCGTATTCTCGCATTGCGTTCGGTCTGCCAAGTTCCTTTAACTCCTTTGACACTTTTAACTCCAAACGATCCTTTTAGCGTTCGGTTTAGTCCGATTAGTGACAGTTTAACACGCTTAAATGTCATTTAAAAGCACCCTAAAATTTGTCCCGCTCCAGCCCCTGTCTATCCGAACTCGCCTTCGGCATAAGCGATGGAATATTTTCCAATGAGAAGTATGGGAAAATATTCCCCTGCTTGCGAGCATTGGAAATTGTGTTTTCCAATGGGAATTGTACTAGAGTTTGCGCATTAAAGTCGAAAATTTGAGGAAAGACCACGCGAAAGACTAAGACATAACCAAAGATTATTGGATATCTTGGATTTTTGGTGAAATTCTAGTTAAAACATTTTTTTCCTACGACCACTTAGGAAAGTGACACATATCACACTATATAGACCTATGGAAAGTGCCCTATATCACACGCGTATGAATAAGAATTTACTTTCCACCCAAGTGAGAATATGCTACTTTCCGAAGTAGCTGTCAGAAAATGTCAAACACATAATTTCTATTTTGATCTATGTAATGTCCATATTAATATTAAAATCGATATGATTGTTAAATTATTGTAAATTAGATCCTAGATATTTATCTTTAACAATTATTTTTAAAATAATTTTAAAATAACTAAGATATATTTGCTTTTTATTCTGGTTAAACACATAAGCGATTAGATCAATCAATTACCGTAAGGCCTGTTAGCTCAGTTGGTTAGAGCATCAACTTTGCAATTTGAGACCGTCCAACGACCGCGATCGAATCCTGGCTGTGCCAGAATTTTTTTTTTATTTTTTTTTTATTTTTTTTTATTTAGAAATTATGAAAATTTAATAAATACGATTATTGTTGATTATTTTTTTAAATACATTTTAATTATTATAATAATCTGGTTTTACATTTTTTGATGAAATTATTTTGTGGTCGTAGGAAAAATATTGTACATCACTTGTGTGAAAAGTGATTTTCCACACTCGTAATGTAATATACTATTTTGTGTATTTATAAATTGATATTATTTTATTTATGTGGGTATATTATTTTTACCTCTCTTTCACTAAGAAACTGATTTTCTTAAATTAGTTAGAAATTGTGGGAGCTGCTAAGGGACTGGCAAATAGGTAACACAAATTGAGAAATTTGTAGTAAATTTAATAAGACCTTTTCGAAAATTTTATTATTTCCGTTAACGAAAGAATTTCTTATATATATAGTTTCTCGAAACTTTCGTTGCTCTTCTATACAAAAGCTACTTTTTCTTTTTTCAATATGTGAAAAGAAAAACTAAAAATAACTCGATAAGTTTTAATTATACATAATCGAAAATTTTCACTTGTCCTCGGTCAAGCTAGCGATTGCTCGGCACGGCATCTGCTGCAGCGCAGAGGCTCGGCAGGTAATCGGTTACCCAAAAACCACAACAAATACAAATAATACAAACAGTAAATTTTAAAATATCTTTAATGTTATTGGTTATTTCGAAATATTCGTGAACTTAATATCAGACATACGTGAAACTATTATTTCCATGGGAATGTCTATTCCGACAAGTTCGAGAATTGCATAACCTATTACCATGGGAATATAAGTAGTGGAATCTTTTCCCATGGGAAAATTTTCCAATGAACTCGAGAATCGAGCCCCTGGTGTCGGGATTCAAAGATTGCAAGTGGGCTTTCTTCAGCCCACATGTGATTATTGTGGAAGTTTTGGATGGCGTTTCTGGAAAAGTTGGCTTCGTCGGTGAATAAAATTTTAGTGTCAAATAATGGATTTTTAGTCACTTCATACAACTACACCAAATTTCATAAAAATATTTAAAGTAGTATGAAAATGACAATAAAAAATTATTTTTTTTTTGTTAAGACGTTTAGGATATATATTCATATTCTTAAAATCGGTCCAAGAATCACCCCCTTAAATATTAGCATGTTATTAAGAAACACCCTGTATAATTAGATTATAGTAGTTGTATCTGATTCATTTTGGTTTTAGTGTGTATTTAATTCAGATGAACTATTGCTTCACAATTAATTATTTATCTCTTATTTGTTGAGAAAGGTCAATTTTCTGATGAAGATAGGAGTGCTCAAGAGTTAATAGACTTTTCGCCCATCTACAGAGGGTTACACATTGCCCATGTACTTAGTAGATCTTCAACATTTGAAACTTATTATAGGGCTGAGAGAACTAAGCAAGTTAGATTAGTGTTGCAGCCACCAACCAACATGGTAACTAATTTTTTTAATTTTGAATGTTTATTGACTTGTATTTTCTTTGTGAATACTGATCGCATCTATTTGTAATCCCTAAAAATAAATATGTAAAATATTTATTGTTTCTTATCTGATGTATAGTTTAAGTTTTATAGTATTTTTGAAAATTTCTAATTACTCTATGAATTACTTTTACCATTAATATTAATACTGAACTTTGTAGATAAAATCTACTGTTAGTACATCAGCTGAAAACCGGTACAGGTGGATCTGTATTCAATTCAGTCCATAAAAATCAAACACTGATGAACGGCACAATGTTTTATTTAATTATTCGACAACGAGAATGAGAACACAAATTATTTACATCATGCCACGACTAAACCATTTATTTGCTTGTAGGAAATTAAAATATTTTGCTAGTAGTTATGTTTGTAAACGGAATGAATTGATCGAAGGTTGAAAAGAGTGTTTTTTAGCGATAACGACATATATGCCGATTCTTAGGCATTCCGTCTTGTCGAAGGTTAAAAGTGGATTGAATATGTGTAGCGAAAGATGTATTCCGACCCGAGACATGTTGACTGTTGGAAGTTTAAAACTGGAGTGTGTAGCGTGAACGATGTGTTCCGACCTTGAGACATGTTGACTGTTCGAAACTTGAAATTGAAGTAAACGAGTAAAATGAATCGTACCATGGCAGGCGATGGGGGGCAATATTTCTTGATTCTATTGAGTAGGAGAGAGATGCTGCGATGGAAGAGATAGAGCATAAGCTAGAATGCAGTTTGATCCGAGTCGTACTGGCTTACTTGACCGTCGTCATGCATGTAGAAGATATATTTTGTTTGCGCTATTAGAGCGAGCTGACTGTTATTCGTAGCATGAAGAAATGTATTTATTATGCGTGGGTTTGATCGCGATGGCGGGTTAGGAGATGCTATGTTTACATTTAAGGATGTCATGAAATTTAAACAATTTTCTCATTTTTAGCATGAATCTGAAGAAAGTTATAGATCATACATTCATGCAGTTCTTGGATTCTTCATATTGGAAGATCATGTTTTAAATACCGGAAAAGGACTTATTACTAGGGCTTTTTTGGATGAAATGTGGTCAATGGCATTATCAAAAATTGTCACAGCTCTCCAAACAAATTCTGTAAGATAATAATCAATTTATAAAACAATAACCAATAATTATATCTTACTATTTGATTTTTTTTCACATGTATATTTCATTTTTTTAGTCATACTGTACTGATGCCACTTTAATATTAAGAATAAAAGATTTGATAATGTTGTTTTGTACGACTTTGAGAAATTATGGTTACTCAGTCAAACCTCTATGGGAGTTGGTGAGAGAGTTGAGGGATCATTATACAGAAGTTTTAATGCAAAGGTGGGTGCAAGTGTTTAGAAAAATATTGGCAGAAGAGGACTTCCAACCTATTAAGGTAAAACGCATTAGAATTTTAGAAAAAAATGGTTGTTTATGTATCGTATATTTTTAGATCAACAATCAAGAAGAACTGAATGAAATGTTATTGTCTTTTCCATGGGAAGGTGACCTTCCCGATAATATAGTATACCCATACAGCTTTCCGTTTTCCAGTATGGTTCCTAAAATATATAGGGAGGTTAAAGAATTTATCTATGCCTGTGTGAAGTTTTCTGAAGATCTAAATCTCAGGTAAGATAAAGTCCAGAATTAGTAGTATATTTTTATATTTATTTTCAAAGGAAAGAAGTAATGTTTTTATAGTAAACACAATATGTTTATAGGGTAAACTGTCAGGGGGTTATTTTTAGACAGATCTGTAGATAAAAGTTTTAACAAATATTTTTTAATATTTTTTTTTTGTAATGATAAATTTAATAAACAACAGTCAGGTGGAGGTGGACGAAATGATCCGAAAATCAATGAATTTGTTGCTGACGAGAACTTTCAATGGCTGCCTTTCTTCGACATTTAGAAGCCCCCATGTTAATTTACAAGAGATTATTCAAATAATAGTAGATACAGGATATTTAGAAGAGGCTAATGTCTACCTTGATCAGTTCATATCAAACATTACTGGGTAAGTAACAGCAAACCAGATTTTTCAATACACTCTTATGTTTTTCAATAATAGGTTTGTTTTGTGCATATCTCAATTTTGAACAGCCAGATCACAATTATAAATGATTTAACAAAATTTGAATGTTTTCTAGTGAAGAATCTCGTGGTGTAACTTCAGCTTTGGCCCATGGACAATCTGCACTGTTTTCTGTATCTCGTGAGGACGCAGTCAGGCAGATTTGCGAAAAACTCAAACAGAAACTGAACGAATTTTTCGAATTAGAAAATTATGATTGGTTGCTGGTGGAGCCCAATGGACACGCCTCTAGTTACATATCCGATATTATTGCGTTTCTACAGACGACATTCCACAGTTTTACAAATATCCCGGTAGTGTTTCTATTTTTTTTATGTAATAAATAAGTTTTGTTTGACAGATGACACAAATATTTCCCTTTTTGTTTTTTACTATTTCCTGAAGATAATTTATTGAGCAACTCAATGACATAAATTTTAGTAAAATATAGAGTAACTCTAACAGTTTCGATAATTTTTTGTAGTTTCTAGTGACATAATAAATTTTTGATGGTTTGATCTTTGACAGATGGTTTATAACGGTTTATAACGGATAGTGTTTGTTTTTGACAGTTTTAACATTTTTAGATTGGATTTGATACTTAATATACCAAAACTGGTCTGTTATTCTCATACGTTTCGAACCTTTAAGATGGAACAGATATTTTTGACACTTTTTACACTTATACCAAACTGTTTTATTTTGTATGTCGGATATGTTTTAGCTCGAAGCGGCACAAATTGCTTGTAAATCAGCCTGTGATCACATAGCGGAATCGTTATTTGCAATGTTAATGAATGAAGAGATCAAGCAACTTTCTATGGGAGCTTTGAATCAACTCAATTTAGATCTACTTCAATGCGAATGTAAGAATTGCTTCCCGCTCTTTTCCCATTAATACACAATACTGATCATAAGGCTACTTCCTTGGCATCTGCAGCACTTGTCAGTGAATTAAATCCGAATATAGACTTGTTGAATATCGAATTATAGTAAAGCGATCCAGCGTGTCGAGTTTGAATTTTAAAAAGAGCTCTGATGTAATTCACTGCCCAGGGCAGTACTAGCCTGAGGAGTAGTGATAGCAAATTCTTCTTCAAAATAGTATCAATTAGTAAAGTTTAAAGTGATTAACTTTATTTTATAGTTTAAACAACGTTTTTTTAGTATTTGCTGCGTCTGAACCAGTGCAAGGTCTACAGGAAGGTTCTTTGCTTTCTTATTTCGAATATTTGAGAGAAATCTTGGATTTGTTTATATCGTGGGACTGGCCAACGTATTTTCATGATTATGCCCAAGAAACAAGCAAATATAAGAAAGTAAATCCTGACGTGGCCATCGTTTTATTAGAAAAGTAAAATATACAAAAATTCAAATATAAGTTATTTTAATATTTCTGATTTTTGTAGGTTAAGAGAAGGTGACAAGAAAACCATGTTTACAGTGCTGAAGAAGAGCGAACGGGACAAGAAGAAACTTTTGGAGACGGTTTTGAAGCAATTGAGACAACTTGCTCAGATACCTCCTGGAAAATAAAATTAGTTTTAAATATTAAACAAAAGCTTTAATTATTTGTATCGTACTCTTTTAACTTTGAATGATTATTTTACTTTAAGAAATAATTTATTTTACAATATTGTTATATTATTTAGAATAAACATTGATTTATATGACATCTCGTCTCATTTAATTATTAATGGATTGTTTTTCCTATTGAAATATTAGAATAAGAGGTTTAAATGTATAAATTACCAAGGGTGAGATTACAGAATTTCTGCAACTTTGCAGATCTGCAAATATGGCGGCAACTTTGAAAATCTGCAAATAAGACTGACTTACACATGCAAGTATCAAGTTTTCGTATTCCAAATTTGGGTTTAGTGTAGTTGGGGGTAATAAACCACAATAAATATTGCGAATTTGCAGATATTTTTTGGAATACTTGCATTTATAAGTCCGCCATATTTGCAGATCTGCAAAGTTGCAGACGTTCTGTAATCTTACCCCAAATCCATATCTATTTTTGTTATGGTTTTTCATGACTTATGATCTGTACCATATCAATCGTTCTTGTAAGGTAATTAAATAAACATTCAGGGTTCGGCACTGTGACCGAATCACTAAAGAGGAGAGTTTAGTATATTTAGCTGGTAGCGCGCCCCTTGCCATTTTAGATGTGTGGTTTCAACGGCTCATACGACGAGAAGGCCTATCAATGGACGTTTTAAGGTAAATGTCCACTTAATTTCGTTACATGGAGACGTTGAATGGCCTGCGCGTTCACCCGATCTTGCTATAATGTGATTTTTTTTCTTCGGGTATACCTGAAAGCGAAGGTATTTTAACAGCAATACGCCAAGAATTTGCAGGAATTCAGAGATTGGCTTCGAATGTGTATTGAAAAATAAAAAAAAAAGATTTTGGACTCCGTAATTTTCAAAACTTAATGTAAAAAATGACATAGTATACTTTTCCATTTCATAAAATAAAATTCTAAATAGCTTTTAAAATGGCGATTTTATTCAAGTTTATAATGTGGGAAATCATTTTGCCGGACCCTGTACTTTCCATTATAAAACAGTTTAATTGTCCCACTTTCTCCTAAAGTAAAAAATCCCTAAACTAAGGCAACACACAATACATTTGCACAGCTGAAATAAATAACTATACCAATCACCGAACTTTATATTAAAATATACTTCAGTGAGTCTAATATGTACCGCATGGCCTTAGTAATCTAATTTAAAACGATAAATTGATTTTGTGGTTTTTAAATAAAATTTATTTGTAAATTGCCTATTAGACAAACGCTAAAAATGGGCTCTTCGAAAAACGACATTTGTCATTGCCAATGCCAACCTACAAACATAAAATTCAACAGATTAAAAACAAATATATTTGACGTTTTGAACCATCTTTCATAATAAATTTAGTCAGAAAATACATAATTAAGAAAATCAACAATAATTTCTCCTCCTATAATAATAAAATGTGTAGAAACTACTGATAGAAGAAGGTAACCGATATATTGGTAATATACAACCGTTTTTTCATGTATCAAATATTGCAGATGGAGGGTAGGCTTAAGAAATGGAGAACGAAACGAGACTTTCTAAAACTGCTACAATCTCGTGAAAATAATGCCGAAACATCAAAATTTTTTAAGCAACATACACAGTTTACAGATAGTCTTGTCAGAAGACTTGGATTGGAACATGAATTAGAGGGCCATGTCGGCTGTGTAAACTGTTTAGAATGGACACCAAATGGGGAGTAAGTATTGTGATCTTAACAATTAATAATCTTAATGCGTACAGTCGTTTTAAATGATCACAAGTAAAAATTATATTATTGTTATATGATTACCCAAAGTACTATTTTTGAATACTAACAAGAGATACATTAAATGTTTGTCTGATATGATAGATTAATACACATAATTTACAAAATATGGAAAATATTTTTATTTTTAATACAAAATGTTTCATAAAATTCCTGTAATTATTGTTTACAAAGCATAATATATTTATTTGACTTGAACAAGTTGCTAAAAAGCTAAAATTAAGCCATCTGTAGAATGCATAATGTTTCTAATGATGCAAATCATTAACCCTTGTCACTGTGGGAACCAACTTTTTTGAAAATTAATAAATGACAATGCTGTTCTATTGGGTAAATTATCTTTGATATATCTAGAAGACAGGAGAGTACTGCAGAACATAACTTTTATAATATAAACTAGTTAATAATTTATTGGATTGTCCAGACCTGCTATCCCAAATTAAATTTTGTTTACAGCATTTAAATACAAGATAAAAACGGTATTTTACTTGCCCACACCTCCAACAAAGATTTTCACAAATTCACCCATGCATACCATTTGCAACAATTTTAATAGATATGCAGCTGAATTAAATTTGAAAATAAACTTTGGATTTTTTTACAAGCATTCAATGTAAAATCAATGAGTACTTACTCAGACAATATTAATAAAGAGGTAGAATTTTTTTTTAAATTAGGAATAATTATATGTATACATATATTTTTTTTATTGTATGTGTCTTTTAATTGGGATTTAACCTGTTTGGACAGTGAAGTTTTTTTTTTAATGAAACAACTGTATTTCAACTCCTTGTTTACTGGTGCACCAAACAATTTTTTATATAGGTATCAAGTAAAAAAAAATAATTCCCACAGCTAACCCTCAAACAAAAGGAGTTTAAATAAAATCGTTTCCCGCATAGATGGCACACTATTCATTTTCAAAAATAGTCGGTCCTGCAGTGAAATGGTTAATATAATAGATAATAATGATATATTAATAAAGCCTTATTAAATATAAATAAAAGTATCAAGTTTCAAATTTTAATCCTTCCCTTTTTATTTTGTTTTTTTAAATAATATTTAATGTATAAATAACATAAGACCAAAGATAGAATTTACACAGACCGTCTGGGATCCATACTTTATGAAAGACATTGAACTGCTGAAAAGAATACAAAGGAGAGTCACCAAAATACCACCAACCCTAAAAAACAATGAATATTGTGGTCGGCTAGCCAAACTACAACTTACAAGTTTAAAGGAAAGACGAACTAGAGGAGACTTAATAGAAACTTACAAGTGGACCAGCGGATATTACACCTGTGATAACATCTTCCAGGCCAGCACATCAAGAACCTTGAGAGGTCACTCAACGATATTAGATAAAGAAAAGTGTAATAAACTGCAAAGAAAAAATTTCGTAACAAACAAAATTGTATATCTGTGGAATGATCTCCAGCAACATACAGTCTCAGCCAAGAACATAAACCAGTTTATAACCTTGTTATAAATGGGTGGGTAAATAGACAGGATTAGTATGTTTATCTGCAGTAAAATTGTTTACACCCCTAAACCCCATGATTACATTTAGACAGTACCCCCATTGCATATAAAAGATTTAAAAGATTTGGAACATCATCGGGTCGATGGTGTAGCGGTCTAACGCGCTTATATTCATTTATAAGCAAGTTTATGTGTCAGAGACTGCTGGGCTTCGAATCCCAGACCAGACCATGTGGATTTTTTATTAAATTGCATGGTTCGGTATAGGATTTGATGTGTGCCGTATTAATAGAAATTCAATTTATATTATACAAATTGTTTTTAACATGACTGATATTTTTTTTAGACATTTGGCCTCTGGTTCTGATGACACAAATGTCATTCTGTGGGATCCTTTTAGACATAAAAGGCTTCAAGTTATTCCAACGCATCACATTGGAAATATTTTTTCTGTCAAGGTATTATTATTCAATTAATTCAAACATTTTAATAATTTGAATAAACAATTCATACAATGTTTTTGTACAGTTTTTAGGAACAACCTGTAATGAAATAGCAACAGCGTCTGGTGATTGTAGAGTGCTGGTTCAGTCTATACCAACAGCTGTGGCTAAACGTCCCCCGATTTTGGAATGCAGTTGTCATGTCAATCGTGTCAAAAGGTTGGCTACATCTCCTGTTGAGCCATCATTGTTTTGGTCTGCAGCTGAAGATGGACTTATTATGTAATTGAAATTTTAACAATTATTAAAAAAAAATACTTTACCTAACAGGAATATACCCAGTTGTATAGTTTGTAGGTTTTATATTTATTGCTAAAGCTAAAAAATTATTAAATACATTTATACCTACTGTAAAAAAATTAAAAAAAAATACTTTTTTTTTCCAGTCAATATGACTTAAGAGAACAACACGAATGTTCTTCATCACACACAAAGGTTTTAATTGATTTAAGCTACAATTTTGGTGAAGTTAAATGTATAGCTGTCAATCCCACAAAACCTCATTACATTGCAGTAGGAGCAAATGATTGTTATATTAGGCTATATGATAGAAGAATGTTGAAACCTTACACAATACGACAGGAGGTAAAAAAATGTTATTACTACAAAAATTTATGTTAACGAAAATATCGATTTTTTTTGTAGAGATCACCATTCCACCTACTCTATGATAGGGTCGAAAAGTTCCCAGAAAGGGACCCGCTAGATTTGAATTGTGTCCAATATTATGCACCCGGACATTTAGCTATAGAGAATGCAAGCGTTAGTAGCTTCAAACTCTCCATTACCAACATCTCTTTTAATTCGACTGGTTCTGAAATGTTAGCCAACATGGGCGGAGAACATATTTATTTGTTTGACGTTAATAAGTCTAGGCATATTAAGGATATTCAAGTACCGCAATTTTTCCCCAAGAAAAACTTGCCCATGTGTAAGAAGTGCTATTTTATAGTAAGTGTTCGTTTATTTATTATTGAATGGTAGCTCCCTAACTTTAATACAATTTCAAGGTGTTATTGAAATACATTTAAATATTTAAACAGATTAATACGTAGGCTCCCATAGAGTGTACAAAAATATTTCAAAAAAAACTAGTGATTGAATAAGTGATTAAATTTTTAAAATTTTATGGTAATCAATTCATACACCACTGAAGTTAGCACAGATCATCTGCAAAATGTAGGTCATTTAAGGTCATCGTCTCTGAATACAATTTTTTTTATTTCAATTTTAATAATAATTATAAAGCTTACAAGGTAAGAATATTTAAACAAAAATTATTGTTTAAAGTTCATCACATTATTTTTTTAATTTTCCTTGTCAATTTAAGAGTTAATTTAAAACATTAATTTAAAACTAAAAACAGATGAACATATAAATAAATAATGATCTTATAAATGCAAATAATTATGAAATAAAACATTACAGCATAGTAATATAAGCCTTAAAATAATATTTAGGTGTTATTTAAAAGGTTTAAATATAGTTGTAAGTTTGTAGCAATATTACTTTTACATGTTTTTGAAAATTGTGTAATATTATTTTAATTTTTATATCTAATGGCAGCATATTATAGATTGTTGGGGTAAGATTTTTTTGAAAATCTTTGGGTCGCATATCTTTGACAGAAAGGCACACTTATATTTTTGTCAGACTCATATCTCGTATTATAACCGTGTGAAATGACATTCTTTAATTTTTTTTTTATGAATAAGGGGACAGTTGCTGTGAAAATATAACATTATTATTATATCAAGTATTTCATTAATATACAGCTGAATTGTGGGATACAATCTGTTTTTGTAGAATATTATTTTAAGCAAATAATTTTGAATCACTGACAGGGGATATAACGTGTTACTATAGAGACCACCCCAGACTTGAATGCCATAATGTTAATACCGACTACTTAAGGATTTGTATATAATTATTAAAAGCTGCTTTTTCTTGAATTTATGAAACTCGTTGAATTTGTATATGAGGTCTGACTATTAAATAACGAGACTGTTTATGAAAAAGAGTTTTATTTGAAAAAATATTCTACAATCGAATGCTCTCCTTTAATGCACTCTCCTCCCCTTGTCACACTCAGTTCCAGTTTTTTTCAATTTAACGAGAAATTTCACATTGATCCATGATTCGTGTTTTTCGTCACACATTGTTATCGGCACGAGAAAAAACACGTTCGGTTTTAACCTCTATAGAAAAAATATTACTACAATGACAAAAACATGTTTTCGTACTGGAATAGTAGACACTACCAGCTATCCAATGCTGCATTCTCCCCTACCCCTCTAGGACGCCTTCTATGCGTCCAGTCTCGTTATTAACCTTTTTAACTTATTTGTCAAATTCATTACCTGAGCATTTCATTTAATCTTGATATTCTAGTTAGGAACCGATAGCTTACCTTTCAGTGTAGGGAGGAGTGTCAAAAAACCGTTTATTAATTTTGTAACTGCATATTCACAAAAAATAACAGATTTGCTTACTACTTCATGTATCAATGAAATTATTGGGGAAAATGATTTTTAGCACTGTAGCACAAATAAAACTAAATTGTTAGTTTTTTTTTTTGTTAAAGTTAAACTCATGTACATGTAAATAGCTTTGGAGCTAAATAAAGTATTTATTATTTACCAAAATGTTCTTTATAAAAATATTATTAAATAAATTAAATTATTTCCAAATCGCATTAAAACGCATATATAAACACAATGAAACATGCTAACTGGAATTGGTTAATATGGCGTCTGTGACCGGTTTTTTTCCTGGGCTCGTCTGACTTATCTTCTATAATACTTTAGCCCAATGGCTTAGTATATTTGACCCATGTTAATTTATAGTACCCACTACTGTTACCTTTGGTCCTTGTACAAGTCCTTAACATGGTGTGTTCTATAGGTTACTGTATCAACCTGTGGTTGTCCAAAAAGAGCCTGTCTTTGGCGATCCAGTGTTTCGCAGTCACACAGTATGTGTTCTGACAGTTTTTAATTACTTGTGAAAAAGTCGACACAATAAGATAAATCTTCATTCTTCTTATTAGCATGTATTTTATTTAAATGCTCTTGTAGCCTAGGTTTCATAGCTTCATTTGAAAAAACTTTTAGGCAAATTAAGCACATATGCAATGACAAGTTTGTAGGAGAGTACATAAACCCATATTTTAAATACCTATTTTGTTCAGGGGTACCTTTACTGGGACATGCCCAGTTATGAGCTCTGTTATTATTTTTAACTGGTTCTTTTGCATAGGGAGTAGTTCTCCTTTTCTTTTTGAACATAGTATTTTTTTTTTTTTATGTATGTTCAGCGATAATTCTTCGGTTTCCGATTTCAATAATTCTTTTTTTGTTAGAAAGGGGCTACTTCAGGGGTGGTCCGATATAAATTTGGTCAAAATCTAAAAATTGTGTCCATGAGAAAATCCTCAAACTCTTCATTTTTTATGTATGTTTAGCGATAATGCTTTACTACCTTGTCCGATTTATATGATTCTTTTATTGTTATAAAGGGGATACTTCAGGGGTGGTCCCATATAAATTTGGTCAAAATCAAAAAATTGGGTCCATGAGAAAATCCTCAAACTCTTCATTTTGTATGTATGTTTAGCGATAATGCTTTACTACCTTGTCCGATTTATATGATTTTTTTTTTGTTAGTAAGGGGGTACCTCAGGGGTGATCCCATATAAATTTGGTTAAGATGTTGTGATGGCATCTGCACGTTTTTGAAGTCGGTTTTTTTAAATTTTTAATTTACACTTGTTATTAAATTTTTAGTTTTACTAGATTACATGGATACGGGTATTGTTGAAGATTCGTTACAAATAGTGCGATTTTCTAGATAAAACTAGAATAAAGCAATTAGACAGATTTTAGTTCAAACATCTGAATATTATGAATTCATTTGTCAAATGGTAAACTTTGGAAACATCTTATACGCAAAATGCAATTTATGATGTTCCAATGTTAGTATATGATATAAACATCTGTTATACAATTTAATGAATTATTAATTTTGGGATACTTTTTTTCAGGACGGAAACAGACTTGTAAATATTAGTAAAATAAATTTAATCCCTGAAGAAAATTGTGCTTGTTTTTATTTAGACAGGGCTTCAGAATGTCGCAAACGAAAATGGTTAGTAGTTAATAACATTTTTTTTTTTGCATAAATCTTAAACGATTTTATTCAAGGATGGGAGATCTTTATAATGCAGCCCGTGACTTTTTACATGTGATACAAAATTGGCCTAACAAAATACAGGCCTACATTGGCCTAATTGAGAGCCTTTTAGACTTAAAATGGACGACAGAAGCTCAACAGTGGTTGGATTATTTTTCGACTTTACCCACTAACAACAATCATCCACAGGTAAATAAAATTGTAGCGTAACAATTTTTTTTTACTTAATACAAAAGTTGTTTTCCAATCAGGTAAATTTGTTAAGAACTAAATTGGAAAAACTAATTGTATCCAATCAAACTAAAGAACAGGATAACGATTCGTTTGAAGAAAAGGAGAGATTATGTAGGAAAGTTGATGAGGCGGAACAAAAGAAACGATTGGAATCCAGGGATTTCGAAATGAGATTTTTGGGACACTGTAACATTACAACTGATATTAAAGAGGCTAATTTTCTAGGTACAAATTATTACAAATAATTAAATTCATTCTGAAACATCAAAATCTATTTTTAAATGTGAAGACAATAGTTTTGCTTTACAAATCAAACAAATAACATTTATACATTGTCCTACGAATTTACTTAATAATTAAACATAAATTCAAAACTTTCTTCTACTTGCTTTAGGTGAAGACGGTAACTATGTATGTGCGGGTTCCGACGAAGGAATAATTTTTGTGTGGGAGCGGAAGAAGTCGCAAATAGTGACGGCTATGTTCGGTGACGTTTCGATAGTGAACTGCATTCAACCACACCCTAGTGCCTGTTTTATTGCATCAAGCGGTATTGACACTGGCGTAAAACTTTGGTCTCCACTACCAGAACTTGTAAGTATTCATTCAAGTTAACAAAAAAAAAAACGTTTTTTGTTAGAGCTGTTTTTTAAACGCCTAGGCAGTAAACGTGACAAATTTGAATTGCGCAATTTTAACTGGAATTGAGCTATTCGCGATTCAAACTAAGTGATACGCCCTCTGGAGGAAATTTGTAGAAGTAAGATATCGTTCTGTGTTGCCAGAAGTAGCGAAATTTCGCTACGTCGTCGGATTTTAGCCCTTGAAGAAGTGGATAAGACCTCTTATTTAAGAATCAAAATTTGTGTCTAGTAATATGTAATCATACTCTATATTTATTTAAGGATTTTTTTTATAAAACCGATTTATTATATTGATTTTTTAAAATTTCAGTTCATTTATTAATTTTGTTTTAAAATCAGTTCATCATTTGGCAACATTGGCGTTCGTGTTCATTCTTTATATTTTAATTTGTATCAATTATAATTCGAGTTTTTTCTTACTTTTTAGCTTTAAATTTGTTTATTATAGTATGTGATAGTGTTTATATTAAAAATGAAATCTGAGAAAAAGCTCCCAGCAAATTGCAATCTATATGGTGTTAATGTCAAAATCAAAAGAAAAGTATTCATTATTTTCCAAGCGTAAGTCGTAAAATTTGGTTTCTTACGATAAATGGATATCTACAAATTCACTATTGAAATTTTGTAAAACTTTGTTTAAAATCAAACTGCAATCTGATTTGTGATGGTTTTATTACCATTTACATGTATACAAAGTACTACACAATTCACTTTATAATATAAGAATAAAGATAGTAAAATAGTAAGTTCATCAATAATAAACGTTGGTACCTGAAATGTCCTTTAAACCACATAATAAAAGATGTCCTGAGTTTAGTAAATAAATATTTCTAGATGTTCTTGTAGTAACCAATAGGTGAATATTTCCAACAAATTAAGTCATACACATGATAAATATTACATTTATGATGAAAGCACGAAAACTAAACTTAAATTAACACTAAATGAAACTCAATAACACTATTATAATGAGAATATTATCTAAAAAACAGTTAAAAAATCACAAATACAAAATCCCGCCCAAAACAAATACAACATGTAAATAAACAAACACTTATAGGTGACAAATGGCAGGCGCGCGAAAATTAATTTGAATCACGAGTAGTAGTCATATTTTCTTAATAGTCCATAGGAACCTTATCATTTTCAAAGTACTTTAGTGCTACATTTTACCACTCAGATATCACAAATTTGATGTCTCATGATGTGTACCAATAAAACCAGAGTTTAAATTTTGTGCCCAAGTGTCTACTTTTATTAACATATTAATCACATATCAGTGTATACTGTAGGCAGAGTAAAATCGAAAAATAATTGGGTTTTTGTACTTTATTTAACAATTCTGGACAATTCATGAAGCGGTATGGTACCTAAATAAAAAGGGTAGTGTGAATTAAAATTTACTGATGATATACAGGGTGTTAAAAAAAAAGTGTCACAAAATAAAACGGGGGGTAGTATGGGCCAAAATATGCAGAAAAGTCTTAATAAACATATGTCCGCAAATGAATGGTTTCAGAGATACGGAGTGTTTTGTGTTTTGTATCATTTTTTGATTATCTTTTTTCATTCTCAAAAATTTGCTTTTCTTATCGGAGTCTACCGATGTTTTTTCATAGATACTATTTGCAGTTATTATTTTGTTGTGGGTGAATAATTTTATAAATTTCCGTTATGCCTGTTTACACTAATATTGAATTAGCTGACATGCATTTTATGTACGGTCGTGCAAATGGCAATGCATTGAAATGGAGGGAGGGCGCTTTGAACATCTCATTTAACTCTATGTTGTTATTGATTGTTTATAAATATCATTGTTTTTTTATAATAATAAAAAATTGTTATAAACACAAAATGGTCCGTATCTCCGAAACCGTTAATTTGCGGTCATATATTTATTAAGACTTTTCTGCTTATTTTGGGTCATACTATTCACCATTTCATTTTGTGACACTTTTTTTTTAACACCCTGTATATTTTAAATAGTCCATTAAAAGAAAAAATTACATTTTTGCAGGATGATTACGTGAATCCCCGAATAGTGACTGACATCCCGGCGGTGGTAGAGGCCAATCAAAATCGAATGGCGATGGATCCATTAGAATCGATGTTAATTAACATGGGGTATCGGATATCCGGCATGCCCATGTCGAACGAGGTGCCATCTTGTCAAACTTGTTAGTTGTTTGGTCTGAATCTGTTTTGTGACCAATAAAATGAAATGCATTATAATTAATTCCTTTGTCGGATATAATGTTTTGTGTCATTTCTTTTATGTAATACATATATATTTTTTCATTTTAGAAAAAAAAAATGAAACGTTTTATATGGTTTTTAATGCTTCAATGAAGGTTGGAAAAGTATTAAGTGGTTTAGAAATAATGTAATGATTTGAAAAGTTTTTGGAAATATGTGGTAACCACTTCTCTAACTCCTTTGTTTCTGCTCACAAAGTTTTTTTTTAGTTGCGGAAGAGGCGAAAGTCAAATGAAGCTATTTCTGGAGAATAAGAAGGATGTGACAGCAAATCGGGGTTTAATTCGTTAATATTTGCCATTGCAAACAAAAACACTTGTATGGGGAGGAGCCATGTCCGCATGGCAAATAATTTTCTTTTTGGCTGATCCATCTTCTTTTTTTTTTTTTCGAATTATTTTGTTCAGTTGTTTCAAAAGGGTGTTGCAATACTTTCTTGTAATGGTGTCAACCTTTGATAAAAAATCAATAACCAGTATCTCTTTAGTATCCAGAAATACCGATAGCATAACCTTTTTAGCAGACTTTACTGACATTACATTCTTTGGTTACATTTTAATTGGTTTTATAGTGGTTTGGAGTCTGGAATGCAATAATGAACTCATGTTTTGATTCTTAACCATTCTATAGATATGCGGTACCCATTTAGCAGAAAATTTTTTCATACCTAATTCAGTTAATATGATACGCCTACAACTATAAACGTTAAATCGATGATTACCTAATGGACCTACAACGATATCAGGTGTTGCACTATTTTGGTACATCACGTCGACGATTAACTTGCAGCCATGCACAAATCAGTACCTAGTTTACTTAATCATTGTTGAAATGAAGGATCGATCAAAGTAGATTTCAATTGCTACTTGAAAGGGACACTTGCAGGTTGTAGGTAAAAGTGGGATACAATTCGAATGACTTTATTTCGTACTAGTGTGTAGCCTCTCTGCTGATCTCCATTTGTGACATGTGCAGCAGCGGAAATAGTTGGACAGTTATCAGCTGCTGTTTAAAAATGTGGAATAAGTTTGGTTATAAATATTCATTTATCGTTTAACTTATTTGCAAGTGCTACAGTCACATACTTTGATTACTATACGAGGCAAGAGAGAGGTCCGACACGCCCAACATAGGGCGCGGCCATTTTGAACCCTGTGACACAGTTTACAGCTAAAGAAACAGATCGCTCACTCTGAGTCGGCACTTTTGATCTCAATGTTTCAGTTTATACAGTGTGCAACTCGGATAATACAATATATGACAACCGCCTACAATAAAACAGCAGTCTTCTGTGTATCCTGAATTTGTATCCCTGGAGTGGATGTTATTTTGGAACTTTCAACTGGTCCGAGTGAGCTAACTGATTCTTTAGCAATAAACTGTGATTTCAAAAATAATATTCACTGACACTGACAGCAGCAAGCAAAATATCAGGTGCGTTTTAATCATCTGCTTCTGGAATTGTCAGTTTAGTCGTTTTAACCTGTCAGATTAAAACAAGAAAACTGACAATTCCGAAGCAGAAGCGGATGATTAAAACGCACCTATTAAAAATATTGCGCCAAGATGTAGGCAACACGTAATAAGGGTTCAAAATGGCGGAGTTTTATCTCCTTTTAAAAGGCACTCAGAAAGCTGCGCAGTGCGACCATTCTCCGTATAGTAAAAGAAAATCAAAGTATGAGTGCGTTTAGATTCCTCGCACGGCGCGTCTGACTACATACATTAGAATAGGGCCCAGACGCGCCGTGCGTGGTTTCTAAACGCACACTATGTGGCTACAGTACAAAGCCAAAAAATATACACGATGAATCCTAACTTGATACTTTTTTAACTGTGTATAAAAGTCATTAAAATAAACAACTTAAATTTATTCCAAAATGTATCCAATACGGTCATGTATAACTTAAATAAAGTGTTTAAAGTTATCACCATAAAATGGGCAGGTGCCTCATTCTGCAGAAGCCACATATCTTAGCTGATATTTAATGGAACATTTTCTAAAATCGGTGTTGAAAATTGCTTCTCCGAATTAATTGGGAATTATCAACAGACCAAAAATGCATATTTCAGAAATTAATTCCATTTCGGATGAATGTTGACTCGTTTATAGCTAGAACTTTCATCGAAAAATGTTGATCACATTCATGCCGTTGTAAGAACCATTCACAAAACTAAACTGCTAAGGAAATCTACAATATGTAGTGCTTGAACATATTGAACGTGAAAGAGATATTATTGATTTACCACAGTGTTGTCCACACTTTTCTTTGACAGTCGCAATAAATAATAAACCCATCATTGTTATACTTTATCATACTGAACAATTTAAATTGACTATTTCAGATAAACACGCTACTGAAATCACATGTGACTGAATTACAATAACCGGTTCAAAATGAAGCATGATTTATAAGAATAAAAGTTCAGGCCTGGATTTAGATTTTTTAATTCTGTAATAAAAAAAAAATTATTTGAAAGATATGTATATTGCGTTATTTAAACAGTTAAAAAATATATCGACGCTCTTTTTTTCAAATCTCCAAGTATTTGTTTCAGCTTTGGGGTTCGGGAATGGTTTTAATAATGTAGGGGGATTTTTGAGATTTGTTTCCGAATTTTCAAATTATTCAAAAAAAAAGTATTAACTTACTTGTATATTATTTTGTTTATAAGTATTTTTAAGAGAAAAATGTAATGTATTATACCTATGAACAATGCAGCAAAAATACAGTATTAGTAATTTAACAAAAATGCATGTCAAGAAATGCAATCCTGAGAAAAGTAATTAACTATGGTTTCTTAACAGTTTCAAAAATATAAGAACTGAAATTTGACTTGTGACAAGTGCCATAAACGTTTTATACATTTAGACATGCTAAAATACATGGATACCTAAGTAGACAGTTTCATGGTATTTCCGTCTAACATAAAAAATTGGAATTTCAAACAGGAAGAATGTATTACTTTTGAAAATTACACAAATTCTAAATATATAGTTGAATCTAAAAAATATAAAACAAGATCTACATATTTTGTATGTAAAATTCAATACTTAAGACTTTCATGTTTGAAAAACATAAATATTCGTATAAGGAATTACAAAAACTAAACTATGATTTTTATTCAAGATACCTTTATTTTTAAAATATCGTAAAAATGTTACTTAGAAAAGTTGTTAGGAATTGAAACGGTATTTCCAAATATTGTTTATATTGATTTTTTTCATTTTTTTTTTTAAATAGCGATATGGTGAAAAGAAAAAATAATCGTTTACATTTTTAAACATTAAATTTTTAAAAGCAATTCTAAACGTTTTTCAATATTTTCAAATATAAAGGTACAAAAATTCGAACAAAAATTATAGTTCAGTTTTGTATTTCCCTGTATATATTTTGCAATTACGAAATTTGATTATTGCATTTTCTGTTTTAGATAATGACCAACTTTTATCAAGAATAAAAAAATTAATTTATTGAGTTACTCTGTAATGTTTTTTTTTATGAACATTGTTTTAAATTCCAAATTAACTATATTTTTTTATTTTCTAATCTCGTAACTTTCAATCAATTCACTATTCACGCTGCTGCCCTTGTCATGAATGAGGATCGAAAGAAGCCTACTAGACGCTAGTCAAATTTTCTGCCATATTTATATATCTCATGTGTATTAAGTGAGAAAACTGCAAAGATACCTACCTTTCAAGTAGAGACAAGTATATCCTAAAATAATTTTTAAATCAGTATTAACACCATATCTAACATGACTGTTTTGACAAAATATTTAATGACAGTGTGACTTCAGTTTTTCCTAATTTTTCAATTCATATAAGAACTACCGTGATTTACCTAAATATCTCTCATCAAGATATTGTATGACAGAAGTCTTGATATCTTGTAGAATGACAGATGTGAAATGAAATAATGAATAAACTAAATTCACCACTGAACTCGCCGATTTCATCAAAACGTTCTATAATTCTGGATTTCACCAGTGGTGTGCTTCACATGAAAGTTCTTAAATAAATGAGTGTTATGCCACGGAAGATATATTTATCTTCTGTGGTTGCAGTAGGTGTTGACAGGGAAATATATTTCTAGGTTGCATGTAGGTCGTCCTCATTGAAAACAGAATCGTCCAATATTCTTCTCGCAATAATGGTAACCGAAAAATTAATTACTCAATTCATTTAGTATCTTTTTCAATCGAAACAAGAATGTTTGACAGGAACACCAGGAATCTCAGCGAAAACCGTTCTTTTTTGTGACAAATGGTGTATTTTTTGATCTACACCAAAGCATAATGCATGAACCACCAATTTTTTTATGAATTTAGTAGCATATTCACTATAGAAAACTGGCTGCATCTATTGTTCATTGCTGGAACTTTTCAAATCATTCTCGCATGTTTCTTATCAATTCTGCAACTCAAAGTATAGAACAAAAGCGAGTAGTTTGGCAGCAATAAGTCATCTACAGGAACAGTAAAATTGTAATAGGAAAGAAATATTAAAAAGATTTTCACTAGATCTCAACTCGTAGAAATTTAAATCGATATGCAATACTTTCCCAATTTTCGACTTCGTGTACATATTTTAGTTTTACTTGTTTTTGGTGGGGATTTCTCATGGTATATTGTTTTTCTATTGTTTTTGAAAATATATAATTTCTATTTTACGTTTTCTTTATAATTAGCGATCAGTAGTGTTCACATTTTTAACCTGATTTAGATAGTATTTAGAAACGTTTTTGTATACCTCGTATTTATTTATTGCTTTACTTTTTTTACAAGTTTTATTGTTAAATTTTTATAAAAAAAATAAATAAATAATTTCAATTGAACACGTTTGAAAAATCGTCATATCCGGTTGTGTAAATTTATTGTTTACCACGGTACAGCAGAGATAACCGCTGTACCGTATTAAATAATATAGTAGAAATAACGCTTATTTTGATA